TTTTTATCTATCGCACCTCCAATATTTATATTATACCCCCGTCGAAGCCAGCAGCAATACACGTCTAGATTGGTCCGGTTGACCGGCCACTAAAAAGGCTCATTTTCTCCGTTCAGGATTCGAAGCAGAGTTCAACGCAGAGAGGTTCCGCGTGAATCTCCGATGAAGACTCTCTTCAGTTTGTCTCTGTGCTGCAAACTCTTCAGTTTGTCTCTGTGCTCTAGAACCATTTGGCTAAGTTTAAGTAGTATCTCTGTCTGTCAAATATGCTTTTATTCAGCAGTTCAACTAATAGCTAGTCAGCTAAGCTCATATTTCAACCCGAAGGATATACTAATATCGCTTTAGTGGGACCCCCATAGTACGTAATATAATACATAACCCGCCGTCAAAAAGACTTCTCGATTGCTGCTAAAACCTGAATGAAATACGAGTATCAGCTGCTTAGTGGGGCGCCGGCGGATTAACGTGGTCCTTGGCTCAAGAAGCGCTTGTTTAATTTTCGTAATTTTCCTGCAGCCTGTGTTGTTGACCGAGCAGACGACTGGAGCTGTTTCTTAAACGCGGATACGCAGAGAAGCTCGATTTCGCGGACAGACAAGTCGCATGGCCGAGGCATGCGAGTTAGCTGAAAATTACTCTCGGTGCAACAATTCTGTAGTCATCGCCGCTTTCCTTAGATGATCAAAACTGATTAGAGCCTATTAACGTCTCTCCGGAGCCCATATTCTCGGTTTTGAATGAAATCTCCAAAACGAAAGTTTGACATGAAAAGAACAAAAAACACCAGGAAAACAAAGCTATGCTTTGCAAGTTTATGTGCACCAGCTACACTTAACCGTCTGAGTTCAAATACCTATAAAATTGGCCATTAAACAAAAAAAAAAAAAAAAAACTTAAATTGAGCGCGTCACCTGTTCAGGCGGCCCGGCCGACCCGACGCGACCTGGACTCAGCCGCCATGTTTGTTTGCTGGTGGCGCCCCCTATAGGTCGCTGGAGTCGCGAATAACGCGCTCGCGCGGATTTTCTGTCTTTTATCATCCGCGTTTCCTCGCCCCAGCCTTGTGGCTGTTGCACGGACAGGTAACTTTAGCGCAGTACTGCGCTTCCCACGCACTCAGACTTTCTAAAACTTACCGAAGTAGTAGTTGTCGACGGCGCTAGGCAAGTTTCGAATTGAAATATGTGTATGCTCACTCATTAAAAGCAAACTTTAGTTCATTATTCGACTTATCGCTACGATTAGCCCTCTATATTATGCCCCCCTCGCCGTACAACTCACCTGCACAAACCGCATTAGTGTAGCTTTCATTTGCTAGGCTTAAAAAGAAACAACGTGTATATTGGTGTCAAGAGAAGTCAGCGCGTCGAAGGAAGCGGCACTGAACGAGGCAGACGGTGATAATTGGATTAGCCTGTACACCTTTCCAGATCTTATTAGCCAGGCAAAAACTGCCGAATCACCGTCTAGTCGTCGAATGCGCAACGTCTGATATTCTACGGAAGACAGCTACTGCGGATGTTCCGAACGGCGTTCCCCAGCCCACTAGACAAAAATGGCAGCTGGAAAAACGCGATTATTAGACATTATTACTTAGCTACGCCACAAGCCACCTTTCCATACCATGCTTTCCCGATATCCACTTTGATATCCCGATCAAAATTTTGGGATTATGCGTGCCGGCACCTAACATGCCCCGGCGGAGGACTGGGGACGAACTTTGACCACCGAGCGATCTGTTGACGCGCAAGCAAAAGCTCGGCCGGGATTCGAACTCGGCCGGGATTCGCAGACTGGCGCCTCGCCTCGGAGCCACCGAGGCGGCCACTTTGATATCGCGAAGATGACATCAATGCAGAGAAATTCCCCAGAGAACGAGCGTTAATAGTGTGACGTCATTTCGCGGCCGTGAGAGAGAGAGAGGGTAGCCCGATAGCAGGCGGACTTTCCGTTCCAGTGAGAGAATCTACGGTTGCGGAGGCCGACCTTAGCAGACGCACCAGAGCGATCGCCACGCGCCCCCGAGGCGGCTGAACCGATACGTTTCCTCTTATTCCCGTTATCCGGCCATCGTCATCTCGAAGCCCAAAGACTCTCCGGGGCGGGTGAGGCAATCAACAACGCTTGACCTACTATCCTCTGGAATCGGAGCCGAGAACCGGAATCGGTAGCGCCGCAGCCAGAGATCACGCCCGCCCCAAGGCGTGATCCCTTTGTGGCACTCCAAAGAGAAGAAAATAACAAGCAGAGCAACGGGAAAAGCCAACAAATGAGAAGGCTTCGCTCGCGTTCGGCGCTTTTACAGTACACGGCACAGTTAACCCGAATGCGAGATCCATCTCCGCGCCCGCTCGAATTCGGCGGAGGTTAGAGCCAATGCACAAAGGTCAGTTTATCGAGCGTAACTCTGTGCCGGGGGCACACACAGCATTGCGTTCCACTATAAAGGCCGGTTGAGACATTAAGGTTTAGTAGATCGCTCCGATGATTCGGATAACCGATACTCCTCCGACGCCTTTGAGCATGCATCATATCGTTATCGAAACGATCTAAAACTATTTGCAATGTCGTGTGGCTGTCTGTGTGACGACCGCTTACGACAAGGCGGTTGCTATGGTCACCGAGGTCCGTGCAACGCGTTGTGGTGGGCACAAGGAGTCGTAACGCGTGCAGTCAGACTCAAACGCAAATGAACGATACAGTTGGCACCTGTGCCAAACCGCGTCTGAAGACGCGGCTTGGGCCCCGTTCAGCTCTTTCCTCAAGGCTCAGCTGAGACGCTGGTTCTGGCAAGCCGGGCCTGGCGAGCAGAAGTCGCCTTCCGAAAACGTCAATACTTTCAAATGCGATGTTAGACTGCTTTAATACTGTTAGCCAAGTCAGAAGTATGAAAATATGACTATAAACAGTCAGGAAGGACTGATGAGGCGGTCATGGCTGTGGGAAGCTTTTGAACATTTTTGTGACACTGTCAAATGAGCTTATGTATGCAGACGGCCACACTCAGAATTGTACGGCGGTCAGTGGCACCAAGCACATCCTCTACAAACGATCGAACTCAAAGCAATAAGGAGAAAAAAAAGACAATAGACACTTTTTTTTTTTCGGATTTTGGTTTACGACGCGAACGCGTTCCTGGTTTGAAAACGTGGTGTATTTGATAGCAACTATAAGCAATACAAATGTCGCCTTCAATGGTCAGCTGCCACTCGTTGATGCGTTGAGTTTTTCAGCCATTAGAGAGTTTTAGAAGAGGGGACTTCACGCTTTGAGTACCCCAAGAAACTTGAGGTGTCCTATTCTAAAACTCCATGGTCTTCCCTGGAATCCCTTTGCGTAAACACGCGTATCTCGGGGAATGCTGAGCGTGTTAGTTAACAGGTTACATATCACCTCTTTCTTTCGTTACCTCAACCAGCCGACTCTCAGACACACAACAGAAGGGTCCGCTATCGCTGCAACGCAACCCGATCCAACGAGCACCGCCTCGTCATCATCATCATCATCCAACCAGATTACACGCGCACTGGCCGAAAGCAAAACGGCACACGCAGATATTCCAGCCGGGCAACTCTCCCGCGGCGAGGAAAGATTGAAATTCACCGTGCGTCCTGAGGAAGTCAGACGCAAGAAGTTAGCGGCCGGGCACGGTGCTGCGGCATCGAAGTGGGGAGCTCTGCTTTCGAAAAACACGCGCTCGGGCTATCGGGGTCGCCCGGACTGCCACCGGCTCGCAGAGAACGGTCGAACGACCGACGACTCGCTGCTGCCGGCGAAATGCCGGAGAAAAAGTATAAGGTCGCCCGCTCTACCCGTTACAAGAACGAAAACAAAATAGGACGCAGATAAAGTTTTAGAGTAAAAAAAAATAATAATAATAAATAAAAGCTTGTGCGGGACTATCAAAGTCACACACGGTTCAAATCATACAAGGCTAGGGGGGTTAAGGGTCGTGGGAGTAATTGTTCGAACCGAATAGTGCTGCGTCATTCATAGGCTTCAGAGCGCAAGGTAATAGTTACAACCGGCTTGTTTTAGCAATGCTGGAACTAGGGATGACACTGCGCTAGTCGATTCGAAGCACTGGTCACAGAACTCTACTCAACATACAACGTTTGCAGCATCATATGGAGCTTGTGAGATGAAACAAGCGACTAGCCAAATTACATTGATACTGCGAGAGATCAAAGCTGCGAAGAGACATGTTAAGATGTCCGGTACTTTTTTTCAGCGCGGCATTGTCCACAATTTTAGATACCAATCCCTTTGAAAGTTTAACTACCGGAACGCCAACGAAGGTAAAAGATACCGGGAGGCATGAAACGATGAAAGAAAGATTAATATAAAATGTCAACGCTGACGACACGGTCTAAAAAAATGAACGCCAAGGACAATCGTCGAGGTTTGCACTTTTACGAGTACACCTATCACGGGGCGACACAGAGCCAGCAGAATGTGATACAGAAAAACCCTCGTTTGTCAAGCCCCAACATCTGGGCAAATAACATCGCGGCGCGGGGCACATACGTGGAAACTAGACAGCTGCGTCAAACGAATGCTGACTCACCGGCGAACAAACGAAGAAAAAAAAAATGAAAGAAACCTCGACTTTCTGCAGCCGTTGCGCCGCAAACTGACCAGCCGCGTTTCTGAGTGGCCGTTCGCAAGCTGCTACTATTCCCCAGCGCGAGATTCTTATCGTGAAGGAAAAACAAAGAACCACTGACGGTCGTAGCCCCCTCGAGACAGGAAAATACGTTACGATTCGGGGGTCCGTTGCCTCAACGGCTATTTAAAGTCCCGCCCGCTAGCGATATCGCCATCACGACCCATAGGTAACCGCTGTTTCGTCTTCCTAACAAACGAATTTATTTATTTTTCTTATGTCGCTCTATTCGCTTGAGCATGATCGCTCCCAACAAACAGTCGCCCGGAACAGATCACGAGCCAGCAAGAAACAAAAATACTTTGTCGAAGGAGTTCAACGAGGAGCTTACCTGTTCGAACTTGTCGAGGGTTAGAAAGGTGCCACCGGTTTGCGAACTTCGATTGTTTAGGCCGGCACGGTACAACACCAATCCTTCGGTCTGCTGCGTCGCCGCAAATCCAAATAGAGCGTGTAGCCCCCCCAACTCCGGGCTTGTAAATGTGCACAGCAGTTCGAAACACACCGTCGACGAGACGGGAAGACCAGAAAACCGGGGAAAAACACAACGAACAGGAGGTTCGCTCGATGGATCTCGACGCGAACCAAACGGAAAACAACAGCACGGCGCGCGTCGGCACTCCACTGACGGGTTGTCACTCACTGGCAGTTATCACGGGACAATGGCATCGGAAGAGGCACAGCCATGACGGGTGGCAGCGGCGTGGTTGGGGCACGGAGTCGGTCTTGGGGAAGCAGAACGCACGCCGAGCGGCTGTCCGTCCGTACGGTCGCCGCGACTGCACACCGAGATATAATAGACAGCGCCAGGAGAGCTGCCGTTCAGGTTTTCGGTTCCCTCTCTCCTGAAGCAAAAGACGAGAGAAAGAAGGCTGCTGGCACGCGGAAAAGGCTGGCAATGAAAAGTACCCCAGAGCCATCTGGGGAACTCTTGAGAAACTCGCGCTGGTTGTGAGTGTGACGCTCAGTTGACGCGCGAAGTCCGAATAATAGTATGTGACCGTTAGCGGCTAGGCATGGGTTGTGCGTCTCTTTGGGATGCTGTGCTGGAGGTAAACAGGGAGAGGAGAGGAGGGCGGCTTGCATTATAGCGTGCTTACTATCGATAGTATTTTAGTCACTGCAGTGCACCGTTGCCACGACATAGACGAAACTACATATCAACAATTCGGAAGAGCATACCAAAACCAGCACTCCTACAATGAAAGATATAGAGGATTCATTCGGCATTACCAGTGGCGTAGCCAGGCCAATCGGCACCGGGGGCCCTTAGGCAGGGGGGTAAAGGTGGGTGAGGAGGACTGGCAAATCCCGTGCGCCGACACCCGGGGTCCCGAGTGAACGATCGCAAAAGAGAGCGACAGAACACGAGAGAAAGAAAGCAACGTTGCCATGGTAAACGCGTAGAGTGAAAACTCTCAGCAATATAAACAGTGATAATTTAACGTTGTAAACTAAATTGTGAGCTATTTTAACGCTTATAAAAACCAATAAAGTCATTACGCTGCATTAACTTCCCTTCTGTCGAAATCTCGGAAATCTGGTGGTTGCGCAGTTTCGTATTCCTCAACCGCGCCCAGCCGCGCCCCACCGGCGAAGCCGGGTATATGGTTTACTTTAGCGTTAACGCGAGGCCGTACATCTGCGCGCTATGCAAAAAAAAAGCTTCGAAAGGAACGCGAATATCTTTCCACCGGTAAGTTCGTGGATTGTTGAAGTTCACGAAACTGCTCTGATGATGTAACCGTGTTTGGGACCCCGAGGGTCTGCCTGCATAATCCGCCGCTTGCGGCAGCCAGAATGTATGGGAAAATGGCGGACCTTTTCCTCTAGAGTTAGTATGTATGATCTCTATGCCCTTAGGTGTTTCGTAGCCCCCCCCCCCCCCCCCCCCCCCCCTTATTTACTCCCCAAGAACGAAGTGGAAGCTCCTCCCACCCCTTTCCACTTTAGTGGAACGAACGGTGGAGAAGAGGCGACCTCCTCTCCACCGTTCGCTCGGCTGAAGTGAAAAGGGGTGGGAGGAGCTTCCACTTCGTTCTTGACCTGCCACCGACTGTAGTAAAGTGGAAAAGAAGAAAGGGGGGGGGGGGGGGGGGGGGGGGGGTTCGACAAAGGTGGCATCCGCCCCCCTCCCCCCGTCACTACGCCACTGCCCATGACATGGGGGTTATGGAAACTGCCGTTTTAGGACTGGCACGGAGGAGCAGCTTCGGTTCAGAGATGGTGATTTTTGTTGGAAAGTGGTCTCTCTTCAAGTATGTTGAATTTACTATAGCAATGCAATTATGTTCATTCTCTGTATGTATAACTTCTTGTGTTTCGTGTACAGAAATACAATGTTGCAATACTCTTGCAATGGCAGTATTTGAAATAAACTAAAAAATGCTTCTCGAAACAACGAAACGCACGCCACGTTGTAAAAAACGTCGAAATTACACACGAATTAAAAAAACAAAATGTTAATTGCTTGGAGACAACCAGCACTGCATCGCGCTTTGCAGAAAGCATAAATCCTCTCCTGAAGTAAATGTAAATGTTTTCTATCCATTATTAATTAGATTTTTTATCTTGTTTTTATTTGTGTGTGTGCTGTATATTATCTCTTTATTTATTTAGTTTTTGTTGTTGTATTTCTGTATAGTGAGGGCAAATGAACACTCACTCTATTTCCACATTTACAGTTTCGATGCTCGAACGCCGCACACGCTTTGAGATTGGATGGATATTTCTAGTGACCACATAAACAAGCGCGCCACAGGTACTTGGACGCGCCCCGGATATTCCCATACTTGGGCAACATGAACCCCGATCGATGAGCAAAAACGTGTTCTTCCGAATGACTGCCGAAGTGTCTCTCTTTAGCCGCACGCACAGAAGTCGTTCAAACGTTCATTGGAAGCATGGGGAAACCAAGGTGTCAAGAACTTGCGAAACAATATTTAATTCGAATTCAAGAATCGGGCCCAGGACGACCTACTTCACGTTTATACATTTAAAAGCCATGTTTCTGAAAATTAAATAAATATACAAAGAATGCGATAGCCTATTTGTTTTGCTTTATTTTGTTTGTGAGTGTGGGATGTGTACATGGACATGTTAGGATTCTTCACCCAGACGCCCAGAAGCGCACCTCCAACGTTCTATCTGCATGGGCGCTCAGCGTGCACGTGCCAAGTGCCCCTGTGAAGAACATATTAAACCAATTCACCCGCATCTTTGCTTAAACCTCGTTAGAGCACTAGTCAAACTAGACGCCAAACAGCTGAGAGGTTCGCTAACATAAATTTCAGACTCTGGACTTCTTACGTGACTTGACAGAATAGATGCGACTTGCGAAAGACAAACTTCATGGATAAAACCATGCAGTCTGCCGGCCGGTATAAACTTGGTAGCTTCAGAAGTTGGCAACTTCCCTAATTGTGCCTGTCTGTTCCCATTTTCAGAGGGTCAGTGATTTATACAAACCTCTTGCCCCCCAACACTCCCTCATCCCGCAGTCCCCTCTTTTTCCGAGAACAGAACGCCTCCCAGAAACGTGTTACAGCCCTCAGATTGACACAGTAGATATCTTGCAAAAATCGAAGCGATCCCATTTTCTTTTTATATCGGCATATAGTGCCGCGCAAAGCATCTTGGGAACCCTCCAGCCACGAAGTTTGTTTTATTTGGCCAACCTCACTTCTCGACATCCCGTCATGACCAAATACAGTGCTAAAAATTTTTGAGTATGTGAATTTCGACGATAGAATATAGTCGAATATGTGAGTGTCGACGATAGAAGGTTATAGAATGCCGTGGCACGTTTTCTGGGGCTCCCGACGTGTCAGAGTTTGTGCGCAGGTAAACACAAGACTACGATAGCATGGAAAAAGAAGTGTACTGGGTCGGTCATCCACTGCGCGCAATGTTGCGCGCAGATTATGTTTAACTTCTTAGGTATGTTTATGGTCGGTCAAGTTCTTCCCACCTCCTTCGACTTTAGCAAAGGGAACGCTGGAGAGGAGGTCGCCACTTCTCCAGCGTTCGCTCTGCTAAACCAGAAAGCGGTGGGAGGAGCTTTCCTTAACTCCTATAACGTCTGTCAGTGCGGTTACATGCGCTGGGTCGGCACTGCATGATGGTATGTTTGCAACGGCAACGACGACCAAAGGTCGGAAGGAATGCATGATGACTCATTGCGTCCACTCATTAATATCGTCCCGCTTAGTTCCGATTTCATAATTCCAAGGACATGGCGGCACGACGTTCGAAGACGTTGTCATATGTCTTACGCTGCGGGATCTCAACCAGGAATACCCGACGAGGCCAGTCATTACTCCTTGGCATCGTCGCCAAGGACGACATATTTCTCCCCGCGCTAGGAAAACGTACGGCGCACGCGATCGAATAAGACGCGATCCAAATCAATGACCGCGCAACTTATAAGATGAATTAATCGTCGGCTTATGCGAACGATATATAATGGCGTCCGTCTTTGTCAAACGTCACCGCGGACGGCATGTCATAACTAACCCTTGGAGCTCCGGTCATTCCACTCTGTGGACAGAGCGACGCTGTGCTTAACAAAAAGGAAGAGTCAAAAGCGCTCAAAGAACGTGGTTATAGAGCGAGTAAATGGCGGGAAAAGGTTGGCAGAGGAGCAAAGAGCTTCCGCGGCTCCTCGCTTCTCTTGACCTTTCAATTTATCGAGGTTGGGCGAATCTTTAACCAATGGTGACGTGCGCGCTGTGAAGCTTGCTTTCCACACAGTTTGGTGCTGACTGCTCTGGCAAATGTACCATGAACTGGTTCGAGCTTCGTTAAAAAAAATATAAAATGGAACATTATCGGATGTTTCAGAGAAGATATAAACGTGTTTTCTTTGCCTCAAAGTCAAAAAGAAACTATAGCGGCATCGCGGAACGCTTGATCTCCGCATCGGTGTAGTTTTAGCGGTTGGGATCAAAAATTCCAGAGTTGCAGAGCTTACCGTTATTTGATGCGAAAAGTTATAAGCGATTTTCAAAACGTTTCAGTGAGAAAACGGCGGCCAACATAACTGCCGCGAATATACGTGGAGATGGATGGCATATGATATGATACCGGTTACGGACCACATTTTCTCATTGAAATTTTTCGGATATTGATTATAACTTTCGAATCAGATAACGAGGTTCTCAAACATCTGGTTCCAACCGCTATAAAGCTACATGTCGGCGAAGGAGAATGAACATTCGGCAACGCATAGTTAATTTCTAAAGTGAGAAAAATCACGGTTCATTCTTCTCACAACCACCCCGTACTTTAGAGTCGCTCAGAGCATTTCTTAGAGCGCGCAAAGCCTTCTTTACCATGCCTAGGGACCTACTTTTCTTCATATTTTGAGAAGCAAAGAACACTAAATATGTCTGCTTTATCCACTGCTGAAGTACCATTAGCGAGAAGCATATTCCACCTCCCTCCTAATACTCCGTTCACCCTTGTCTCTGAGTGAGGCCGAAGACAAAGCCACCTCCCCCCCCCCCCCAATCCGCACCAATCCGATTCCTCTAAAGGGCCGCGTGACTTCGGTTCGCTTGAGATATGACCCTTGCCAAAAGGATCACGTGACTCGTCATACCTCGGCTCAAGGTAGGAGAGAATAGACCATACCGGAAACATGTGGCGCCCCCAGCGTCTGTCTATCCTTCTAGCTTCCCCCTTTCCTTTCACCCTGAAACGAACAAGTAAGATTATCTAGATATAAAAGACAAAGTTAATGTTAGTTAAACATTTTGTCATTTCACGCAACGCGAAGAAGATAGAAGAAAAGCAAAGCAATGCACGCAATGACTTTGTTTTGTGCTCGTTTTATTCTTGTGTTTCCTGGACTAATAATAATAA